AAAAGGAGTTCGGTCTAGACCTGCTTCTATTTGAAAAGTGTCCTGAGATAACTTCTGTTATGAATTGGCGCTATACAAATAAAACTGAATTGAAATGAATAGTTAAATAGTGTTTACTATTTCTGCCTGCAGAAAAAGGAAGTTTTTCCTTGCTCCGTTGCCTATCCCAACTCCAATTTACAACAACACTGAAGTACACTATATTCACTGATGTATTGCTATTGTGCAAACTAGTTTATAAATAGACTACAAGAACCTTGTGAACAGGGTCCAAAGCAAGCTGAATGCCTCATATGCATGAAAGAAGACAGTTTCAATACAGTGTGGAAGAGGATGCTTAACATTTCTCTTCCAGTAGAGCCAATTTAAACTTTCCTCTGTTCTGCCACTGTAAAAGCATTGAACAACAGCCTGCTTTTGAAGGGAAAATAAACACAGAAAATGGCATGAAGTGGCAGATGCTCAAACCTGACTGGGCTTCCTGTTTCAAATGGGCTTACTCACCAGCTATTTACAGTTCATTTAGAGCACCAATGTCTCGAATGTGACTTGTAGTTAAAAAATAGAAACTTTCCTTTCCTCTTCCATTTTTGATCTTTGTTCACGTTAAGAGCTCTTGATGCTTTCTTCTCTCCTCTCTTTGAGTAAATACTAATTGCTCTCATGGCAGCTATGATTAGCCCTTTTCTGTAGTTGCAATTTCGGAGTAAAGTCAGTCAACATGATTCAATGAATGGATTTTGGTAGGGCATCACACTGTTCCATTTCAGCAATTTATTTATTATGTTTGTTAAACATAACTGCTTGGTTAGGGAATGGTTGTGGTCATGGTTAAAAGAAATGAAGCGGGAAACAATCAGCGGTCTCCTTTGACAAACTTTGACCTCCACCCAACAAGGTTCTCTGCACCACTGCATCCCTTTCGTCACTGTTCATTTTTCACATGGCTGGTAGATGTTCTTGTCAGTTAAGTGTAAACATCATTAATATTTGTCTAATAAATCACAGACCATTTCTACAGGTTCCCTCAGATCAACCCTCCTTGTATTAACTAAGGGGGTAAAACAAGGTTCCATTCTTGGTACGTGCAATGGAACCTTGCAATTCCAACACTGTTTATGGATTCAGTATGCAGAAATATTAAAATACACTAGGGGAAAATTACACATTTAAACCACATGAAAAAAGCTGCATGATGAAATGACATGATAAAACCATTGTAGCATCTTGGACAGCTCACATGGTCGAGGCACCTCTCGGAAATTCTCAAACTAGATGATTTCAATTTGAAATGTGGATCATATCTTCACACACAGAAGACACCATGATGGCATCATGTGTGGCCTGTCTATCAGTGAGCTATTCTAAAGCTGTTCTCAAAGTGTAAGAAGTTTTATTTTTAATACTGGTGGACTGGCTAGATTTTTAGGATGGATAGATTGTCCTGATGACTCTAAAACAGATCTTAAGGCTTTACTTATCCGTTTTCAAACAAAGAGAGAGGAACAGGTAGAAAGAGATGACTGTGTGTCCACAGAGAATACACTGTGCACTAATCCAGGATCCACTCATGCTTCCCTGAGCAGCAGAGGAGAGCAGGCCAGCTATCCCAAATGCTGTGGGAGTCTCTCACAGAGTTTCCACACAATAGAGTGTATTGATTCAACATGTATCCAAAAACAGTTTCACTGGAGCTGTGTACTATGTACAAGTAGCCTCTGAGAATTTCTCTGCAACAGGAGAACAGGTGATATGTCCTCTGTGGCACTGCCATTAAAGCATTGCATTTCTCCGAAGAGAAACATAGCCCCAGGTGTGTGTGTGTGTGT